AAAACAAAAAAAACTAAAAGACTATGAATATTTTGAACTGAATTACAACCAAAAAAACAAAATTGAAAATAATAAAAGCATTGGTTTAGTAAATTTTCCCGTTCTTTCTATGTTTTTTTCCTGTTTGGCTCTATCAGGTATTGAGAAAACGGGCAGGACCCGTTTGGACCAATTTTTCTGAAACAACCCGTCTGGGCTAAAAAAATACTATTTTTATACTGCCCGTTTGGACCGGAATTTTTCTTATATTATTTTAACTGAACGTTTATTTCGCGAGCCTTTAAAAAGTAGTATTTTATCTGTGTCGTCTTATCGTATATAATACCTTGATACACAGATATCTATTATATAAAGATAATAGATACATGTATATATTTAATATAACTGGATTTTTGGCATGTTTTAAAACTAAATCGGTACACAGAAATTGTATGTAAACCTAAATAATTTTCTTATTACTTAATTTAAAAAGAAGTTTTCGAAGTTTAACTGAAAGTTTATTTAGCAAGCCATTACAGAAATTTAAAAGTATTAGTCCAAACGGGTACAGGACTACGGGTAGTCCAATCCTGGTCCAAACGAGTTGCAGTTTTATTAGTGGCCCAAACGTTCCTAGTCCAAACGTGCTTCGCCCGAGAAAACTACACGAAAAATCATAAAACGACTCGCTTACTTAATGTACTAGTAAAAACAAGTCTCTTGTCGTTTTTCGATTGGAGCGGTTTTTCTAATTGAAAACATTAACCGCAAAAATGGAAAACAATGATATCATAACACTACTACAACCGTTCGGTCTCTTGCGGGACAGTATCATCGAACTTTTGCATAAGAGTATGCTAATATAGGTGATGGGTGAAGGCAACGGCCTTGCCAGTAACAAATTGTATGCCCGTGGATTATTTTTACGACACTCAAATTAAGAAATGAAACGAAATGAGAGTAGTACAGTTTTCTTCCCATGTGCATAAACGATGGAATCCAGAAATAAATAAAAAAAAAAAATCGCAATTTCCGTTTTTTAAGGAACAAAACGTATGTGCGAGCACCGGTCAGTAGATACCAATTACGGATGTATGATATTATACACCTAGACAGTTAACGTATGAAAAAATATCCGTACAATATCGGCAATATCTACATTTAGCAGTACCCGACGCTGGATGACATTGGGCGAATTCGCACTCGCCGTTCGTCAGCGAATAAAACCGCAGGTACCTGCGCCGAGCAATTAAAACCCGAATAAAAATCCAACTCGGCCGCGGACACGGGAAACGATATTTTTCACGTGCCTATAATTTTCATGGGATAACAGCCGGCGAGTGACGGCAAAGGCAGACCGCGGTCGTCGTCGGCTTCATTCGCCGGCGAGTAGCGATGACGAGCCGCGACTCGGCATGGATTCGCCCGATGTAAGGCACGGATTACTCATTTTTTCGTAAAAGGACAAACATAAAAATCGGTTTTTCGTATGTACGCGCGTATCTTATCCGGACGATTGTGCTCCGTGCTCCGACGGCAACGGTTGCTCGTGTTTTTCGTTCGCACAGCCAACGCGGCGCCATCGAGACCAAGAACACCGCGATAAGCGCGCTCTCCGTTAGGGAGATCACGGCAAACACCATCATGTCAATCGCGCTGATATGTATCGAGTCGATCGCATTGTCGGATGATACGCGCGACTTGCGTGCAGAAGAATCAAAAAGCTAGGGAAAAAAAAAAAAACCAGAAACAAAAAAACTACAATACTATTTTGGTGCGTGTTGAACTTTACGCTTTGATGTTCCCGATTAATATTATTCTCGCCGGTTGGTTCGGATCGCACGTTAACGTTAATGACTCGGTTGCCCGGTTGCCCACGTCAACCTATTCCGGCGACCGTATCCGCCGAGCAACAGTCGATTCGTTTGTGTACTTAATTTCCCGTAACGGTATTTCCGATAGGAAATTATTTCGCACGCGCGATAACATAAAACGCGTTGTTTTTGTAAGAACGGTCGTCACTACGGCGACCGGCGTAATAAATATTTTTTACCGTCGTTTTACTGTCGAACGTCCAGCGTTCCGCGGACTCACACTCGAAACCCGGACACTTTTGATGTCGGGTGTTAGGTATCCGCCGACCGTTCGCATTATTAACGGCGTATTTAGTGTTCACGAACGTGTTCGCGTGCGTACAAATAGACGGGAGTATAAATGCGACAGTTCCGATTTTAACATCGTCGTTTTTCGTTATTATAAGAAAAAAAAAAAAATAATAATAAAATCAAGAAAAATAACTTCGGACGGACAAAATACTGTAAATACCTACGGATCAAAATAAAAAAAAAAATAAAAATCACGTTTAACAGTTTAACGTGTTATACGGGCGGGTATTAATATGGTTTTACGTGCAAGCAGTGGTGCTCGGGAGTTTTTCAAAAGCCGGTGCAAATTATAAGATTTGCTAACAGTCACCCCCCCCGTGCCACTGTCAGCGGTGTACTTTCAATGAAAATCCAAAATAAACACTGCTGTAACGGTAGATATCACGCATGTTCCGTTTTTTTAGTCTGCACCACGAATTACGACGTCTTACTTAGGCGTATCTCAATTCGTCGTCTGCGCTATACCACACTGCACAGCAATACTATTAACCGAGCTTCGCTCGGAATCGTTTTTTGTTGACAATGCTTAAATTGGCTCAGGTACAGGTGTTCATTAAATTGCCCTCAATATCCTACCTACCTTCCCAGCTTCTCGTCTGTAACAGCGGTCCACCCATCTGGTGCGAAATATGTCCGTCTTTTTTTCTTATCGATCATTAATATCAAATTTAATTATTTCGTCCTCTCCACTCGTAGTCAAGGCCTGGAGACGCCCCTGCGACCCATCGCAAAGTATGTCCGTGTCATTTTTTCTACATACTATTTTCATTAAATATATGCGAATTCATAGGGGTATTTTATTTTAGACCGATAATATTCTGATTCCTCTATTACAAATAGATTTTGAGATTCCGAGTGGAGCGAAGAAGCTTACGGTTTTGCAAAGATTTTTATTATCTGTGCAAAATTTTTCTATCTTGCTCCGGTTTTTAAGTGTAGCACTTTTTCTGAAGGGAAATCGAACTGGAGAGGTACTCTAGGCAGGAGTTTCTCAGTTTTCTCATCAAATGTGAAAACCAGGAAAATGTACGAAATGTAGGTAATAGTTGATAAAAATATTACCCTTTTTTTTTCCAATAAATAGGAAAACCGCGAAAAATGTAATAAAAACGGGAAAATAGGTATAATATTAAACAAATATTATTAAAGGAAGTATATAATGTCTATGCAATTATTTTACCATAATATGGCATATAAATATTATAAAATCTTTTTTTTTTTTGTTAGCAATGGTTTATTGTTGCTTACAAACATACTTACATTAAATTTCCTCTCTACCTTTCCAACTTCTCACCTATGACAGTGGCTGCACCCACATGCAAAGTATGTCTGTCTGTTTTTTTTTTTTTATTTATTTATTAATCTAATGAATTTATAACTAGTCTTGTGTCATTACCCCAAGTATTTATTGTATAATGATGAAAATTGAATAACTAGACATGTTAAGCATGTTTTGTGTAAATATAAAATACAAATATACATGGATTACAACTAAAATAAATGCAAAATGTAATTTTCCCTGTGTATTGAGAAGAACATTATTTTTAAGTTTTCTAAGAGTGAATTTATTTTATTTTATTATATTATAAATCTATTATAATTAGGTGTAAATAGAATATTCAAAACTTGTTCTATTTCAATACGTAGAATTCAATGACGCAACCAGGATTTATTTACAGAAGGGGTTTTATGAATTCAAAAAAAAAAAAATATCAATTTGGAATGGTGTTTGGAGGGATGGAAGGAGTAAGTTTTAATTAGATTTATGAGTAAAATCTTTAAATTGTTTAGCTTTCATTTAAAGATAAGACATATTGGAAAACAATTTAGACTCATACTAATTATATATTTAAAATATATAAGTTTAAAAGTGGTCATTCCATTAAGTTTCTGTTGTCCTGTAGTGTTTTAGTGTTTCTTAAATATGTTTTTAGCCTCCTAAGTGCAGAAAATGACCTTTACAATGATAGTTGTTATCACTTATTCATACACAATGTAACAACATTGTTTCAAATTGGTATGAAAATTATAAAACTACGCAGGAACTATATAAAATTTGTAAAAAAAAAAAATTGACAAATATATTTGCACCACTGGTAGAATTCCTCATAAGAAAACTTTTTAAAATAATGAAATTTTGTTGAGCACACAAATTATTTTAACAAAATATAATTTAATATTACACCCATTTTAAAATCATGATTCATCTAACTCTAAGAATAGTTTAATTGCTTATTTCAAAAACTCCCTAACCACAAAAAAAAAACAAACCAAATATTGTATAATTGTCATTTAGACGACTGGCATTCAGTTTACAACTGACATTTCATTGAAAAACCATATTCTTGGGCTTTGAAAAGATTGTTTACTACTGTTATCTATTGAGTACTGGTATGTTTTTTTTTTCTTTTTTAATATAATATCTCATCTACACGGGTTTCTGAATTATGCAATTCATTTTAAATGCGATTTCATTCCTACAAAATATACTCGGTCTTACAATAACTAATTGTTTAATTAAAAGAGAGAAATGTAAAACTGAGCATGGTAAGGTTATTTACTGCAGGATCCCATATGTGCATATTATAAAATATTTCCCCTCCTCTGTATGTCATTGAGCTAAAACGACACTGGTATCTGTAAGATTGAGTAGCCAAATATTTTAGTAATTTTTGGGAGTTTAAAGAAATGGTTTCAGAGTAATAAGATGATTTTTATTGAATATCTCAAAAAATGGTAAAATGGTTTTACACCTCGTAAATCTACTTTTGAAATTAATAATAAGAAATAAATTTAACAAAAGTTATTAATTTGATCCAATCAATTATTTTTCAATAAATTTATTATTGATTTATTCTTACAAAATGAATATTAACTTGTAATGAATCGATTATACCAACAACTTTAACATAAATTTAATAATTAGGCTTTAATTTTTATGCTCTTGGATAGATTAACTTTAATGCCAGATATTTCACCATCATAACGACGAATTTCTGTGCGTGGTTCACGAATCTAAAAATAAATACATAAGTTATGAATATTGAATATATTAATAAAAGAACTACTAAATATTTAAAACTAAAAATTTAACCTGTCCTTTCCTACGGATTTTAGCTTTACGATACTTCATACGGTTCTTTACTCTGGGATTTCTAAGTTCTTTCTTACGCCGAGGTGTAAGTCCTTTATTTTTGGAGATTTGATATGTTATAGGTCGTTTTTTATTGCTGTCCATCATTGGTTCATCTAGGGAACAAATACATTTAGTTATTTATCAAAAATTATATTTAACTAGGTAACAATGGTTTACCTGTAACTTCTGGTAAATCTTCATCATCACTATTTTCAAGTTCATTATCATTTATATTTTCTAAATTATTTTCATCAGGTTTGACTGTTTTAGCAATTGTCCCTATTGGTTTTGTTAAAATGTTCAGTAATTTTTTAGTTTTGTTTTTAGTTGCTTTATTTGCTTTAGACCTAAAACAATTTACAATCAATATATTCAATATTGTAACCTAATATTTAAATTACAATAAATAACAATAAAACAAGTCTTACTCTACTAAATGTATAGTTGATAAAATTTCATTTATCTGTGGTAATATTATTTTTTCATAAATGCTACTTTGTTTACATAACATTTCACGGTATCGAAGTAAACAGTTCATTATTGGGTGGTTTTGGACAGGTTTACGAAGAGACTTCATCAAAAAGTAAAATCCAATATTGGTACAATAACTATTATAATAAATAAAAATGAATTTGTAAATATTAACTTTTTCAATAATTATTAATATGTATATTTGAGTTACTTCATTATTATTTCATAATAGAACTGTACATATTCTGTAAATGGACACTTCGGTAAATCATCAGATTTAACTAACTTCAAAATTGGGGATAGTTCTTTTTGCAAACAGTTCATATAGGCTTGAATATAAAAATCATTAAATTAAAATAAATTATTTAAAAAACACTTTTACAAACTAATTACTTGTAAAATCTGAGATGAGTCCAAAAAGTTCTGGTGCTTCTTTCATTAATAATTTTCGTTTTTCACGATCACTCATAGTAGTTAAATCTTTTTCAACAATCGTCATATCTGTTATATTTTTATCGCTAGATCCTTCTTTTCCCTTTTCTGGTTCTTTTGTCTCCTAAATTAAGGGGTTGTATACATATATTAAACAGATTAAATGTATCTTAACATTTATTAATAATTACAATAAATAGTTCATTGTCAAGGTCAACATTTTCCAATTCAGCCATCATTCTTTGATGGATTTTACGCGCTTCTTCTTCTTCCATTTTAGCTGTTTCTTCATCCTCTTCACCCTCAAAACCTTAACAAAACATTAAACACACATTTATATTATGTTTTTTAACATATGTGTATTTAAAATGTAACAAGATAATAAATTATTATTAATTTTACCTCCATGATCTTTGTCTAAATAATCTGTGTGGTAAAACGATTTTCGTAGTTTACCCCAAGCTTTGTCATTGGGTAAATCATCCGAACCACTTTCTGCGCCTTCTATATCGCTATCACTGATATGACGTCCATCATCATCATCATCATCATCAGATTGAGGTTGATTTTCAAGTTCTTCATCGTCATCATTGTCTTCTTCACTGTCTTCATATTTATCTAATTTATTATATAGTGGAAATACTTCGTCCTACATAAATTAAAATGGTTATAAGTAAATATAATAATACTTTTTTTGATACATCATTAGATAAATAAAAATATTGAATAAATAGATTTAAATTTATTTATTTCTTTTTTACCATTAATGTATTTAATTTATTTTTAAGAAATAGTATAATACAGTGAAACCTCTCAATGATAGACACTTTTAAAATCCACAATAATAACATATGTATATAATAGGGGTTACAATTTCTAAATAATTCAAAATTTTGAAGTTCATTATCATCAAAGATTACTTCGTAATATTTTATCTACAGTTGATTGATCAAAATGAGAAAACAAATCTACAAAAAGTTTTAAATGAAGTTTTATGAGTAAAAAATGGCATTAAAGAATAAAAACTGTTTTACAAAGTCTGGATTTTTCCGCCCAATACTGTAAAACATGCAAAATAGAGCATATTCTCAGAAATTGTACAGAGTATTATTGAAATTGAGAATTTTATTTATATAGATGACAATCTTCATACAGAAGATAATACATTAATAATATTGGATACCTATGGTCAATCAGAGGCTATATTTCAGTTTTTGAGGGGAGGGGAAATAAGATTTAATCGGCCCATAATAAAACTGAAAAAAAAAAACGCTCGCTAATTCATCTGTCATAATATCACATTTTTTTCTCGATACAAATATCCTTATTACATAATATCCTCATTTTATACTTACTATCATAGGCATGAATAATCCATTTTTTTTGAGGGACAACAATGACTAAATAATAAATATATATGTAGAGGGATACTTAAATATATTACCTATTGGCTACTATATGAAGATTTAATTTAAGGAGAATTTTATCTCAAATGTTCTATTTGTGCCAATATGTATGGAGTACAATATGTATATATATATATATATATATTTACAAAAACTATTATCATGTTACCATAGATCTGTATAATCATAGAATAAATAAAATAAGAATAAACACTCTCCAAAAATTTACATAGATTCTATTGAGAACCCAGTAATGCCAGTTAAAATGCAATCAATGTTAACAAGAAGTACAGTAAAAAAAATATTGTGTACAATTATTATCACAAACAAATCTGGAAAAACTGTAGCTGAAAGAGACCATATGCAACATAAACCATGAATTATATTTGCAAGCTTATGGCCCAAAACTAACCCATACCCGACTCAATAGAGGCCCGCTGATGACAAGGGGAAGGCAAATGCCTTCCCTGCCACTCCCCAAATGACATGTCACTGTTGTCAACTGTAATAAAAAAGAAACTGAGTCGCCCAATTAAGAATATGAGTCTATTCACAATCCAACATGAAAAGAAGTTTGAAAAACAATAATAAAAAAAAAAAAAAAAAATGGATTTTTTTAATTGTATATAAATAATACTCAATTTAAATACATACTTTTGATAAATAATAGGTACTAATTTTTTTGTATGTACATGCTTTATAAATTTTTTTATAGCGTTTCCCTATATTCTACATTTTTAATTTCTCACAAATGACTACTATGTAGAGGTTTTCTCAATAGTAGACATTTCTTAATTCCCTGAGACTGTCCACAGTATAGTGGTTTCACTGTAAATTAATTACTTCACTATCATCATCAGTGTCATATGGCCCTTGAGCTAGTTCTTTTCGTGTTTTTTCAAGAAGAAGTTTCTCATTTTCATCATAATCACTTGCTGATTCATCACCATCAAAGTCTACAGAAGCGTCATCATCATCACTCTCTGCTTGTTTACGGCTCCTAATAATTAACATATTTGGTAAAATTAAAAAATACATAGTAATTTAAAATGTATTAATTAAAATTACTTATACTTAAAATCATGTTAATATTATTATTATTGAGTAGATACCATATTCATGCAAGTCTTGATAACCGTTTAGTTAAAGAGTCGTCCAGTGATATTGACATTTATTATAACTGATTATTTTTTAAAATCAAAATTAAATAAAAACTTAAATTGTAAAGAGAAGAGCAAGGAGTAATGATAAATAAGATGGTTTGTCTTTCTTATGAGCAATATACCAATAGAATAGTAACGAAACTATTAGAGTGAACATTTATTTATTTTGGTTTTCAAATATGGCTTACATCAAGTGGTTACGCCAAGAAAACACAAGTAATAAAATTGTAAAGAAGTTTATCTGTCTACATGGAAGTCAATTTTTATATTTTACCTTTACTGTCTATATTTTGTTTCAAACTACATTTTTTTGTTCACTTCTTTACATTTAGATTATTTAAATAAATAATACAAATATTGCAATTGGCCTTCTGAACAGCTATTAGCTAATTTTGCATACACAATAATTCATTAATAATAAGCGTTTTCTCGTCAAATTACCATAGCCATATTAGGGGAAACAAATAATATGAAAACAAATTTTCGATATCTATATTATATTCTCTTAAAAAGGTATACCGTTTAATAAGGATTCGTCAATAAATATTTATAAAACATGTACTTACCAGGGTTTTTTTTTCATTGTTATTGATTAAAATCTATTTAAAATGTATTTAAACTCAATAAAATGTAGTTAATAATATAGTACTTATTGTAGATTTAGATTTTAAAACTTCTGAAAAATATAAAGTAATAACAAATAACAAATATTGAATTTTAAGGTTAATTCTTGGACGTGTGCTCCTAAAGACGTATACTTAATGTGTTCCAATTTAATGCCGTCATTTGTTCCCCTTTTATGTAAAGTAAAACATAGGTTTTACACTATTTATTTAAAAAGTTTCAATGTAGACAATGAAGTATACAATTTGGTATACAAGATACAAGATGGATTGATCCACCAAAACTAAAACTAAATGTTTTATATTATAAAGAAGATAATGTGGAAATAATAGATTGTAGATATTATCACCTTATCACCGGCAATCACGATTATGATAGAAACAATTTCGATAACAGATAAAAAAAAAAAAAAATCACATACTGCTCAGCCAGCGGCATGCACGCTGATAACGTCGTGGGTTAATGGTATTGTACTTTTGATTTATATCTTAATTTAAGCCACTACCATTATTCCATAATACAACTTGAATAATTTTCTAAAAAATTAAAAATGGTTTTTACGACAGCAATGATGATGGTGAGAAGTAGAGGCCCAGACGAGTTTTGGAGAAAAAGGAAAATTTTCAAAATTGCTGCTGTAAGCAATGGTTTTCTTAACATTTTTGTTACCTCTACTTAATTTTTGTTTTAAATTTTATTTTTCAATTTAACATATTTATAATATAGGTACTGTCAGTACTTAACTAATTAATGATGTTTTCAGCATTTTTCTGGTCGTCGAAGAAACTGCTATTCTATTGCCATTAAAGCTGTACACCGTGCTCTTCAGTTTGCTACAATTGGACGAACTATTCGAAAAAATGATATGATTAGTGTAAGTTCCAATTTAGACTTTTTATTATTACTTAATTCCTAATAGGCTGTAGGTATTATGTTTAAAATGTACTTTAGTTAATATTAGTTTGTTCAACTGTGGATTACAACAGGACAGTCATATTGGTACAAGTATTAATACAAATAAGAAATAAGAATGTCTCATAAACTACTAATTATTGTATGTACAGAAGCGTCTTCATAATTAGTCAAATTGACAAATGCACATTTAAAATATTTACAAAAATGTTACTTTAAAAAACCTTAAATTTCTTAATATCGAACTGGTCATATTATAATCTCGATGGTTGGGAATTATATGCTTTGGGTTTAGCGAACCTGGGCCCCGAGCTCCTACTGGTGGAAAGCTCAGGTCAGTTATTTCAGTAGGCATATGGTGTTGTTTCTATTAGGTGAAGGAATTCACCTAGTTAAATGGTGGCTTTATGAGTATGTGAAACATAGGATTAAGTGTGGTTGAATAAAGTGGGGAGAAATATTAGGTGTTATATGTGACAAGTAAATTCAATTAATTTCAATGAGACTTAAGATAAGTTTTATAAAAGTATGGTGAGACTGATTATGTTTTATAGTTCAGACAGTAGATAGAAAAATAGAATAGAAAATTATTGTAACAGAAATGAGAATGCTTTGGTCGATGAGTAGAGTACCAAGTGAAAATAGACTGAGATGTTTTGGGTATGTCATGGGGAATGAGAAATCTGAAGTAGTAAGAATTGTAATGAAAATAAACCTAGAAGGAAAGAGGCGTCGAAGAATGTACAAAAATTGGTGGTTGGATACGATTAAAAATGATATAAGTATAGTCAGTGTATATAAGGTCAGAGATCAGATCAAGTTGAAGTTTAATACGAGGTTGGCCCATCCCAAATTGTTGAGATGAAGGAGAAGAAAAAGAAAACTAAAGTGGTCATATTATCCATAAATAAATTAGAATTTTACACAAATTATTAATAGTAAATTAGGTAGTTTATTGTAACCTAAGGTTAAAATTTTAATTTTAATTGAAGATTGAAAGTCTTTATGAAAATTACTGTTTTAATCTATACTATACTATACTATAGTGCAACTAAATTGACTCACCCACAAAAAGGCATGTTTTTATAAAATGGCTTAACTTATTTTCACAAAACAAATTTAAAAAAATATCGAAGAAATTTTTATGATATTGGTGTCATTGTAAAGTATAAACATTAGGCTTTCAAAACAAATTTGGTTTCATTGTTTGTCCACATCTATTGGCTTTAGTAGAAATCAAGGTTTCCACATTCTTCTCTATGACTAATGATTTGTTTGTCATCATTTACTATCCTAAAACTTATGGTGTCAATTTTTTTTTCTCATGCACTCTATTATTAGCTAATAAAATATCCTAATCATTAGATTTTTAGATTCTGAGTGGAACGAGGAATGTAGGTTTTACAATGATGTTTATTTTTTTTTATGTGAATGCTTTTTCTACCAGAAAGTATACTCCAATTATCGAGTATAGCACTTTTTCTAAAAGGAAATTTTCTCTGGGTGGTACTTTAAAGAGGTAATTTTTTTAAATTCTCATTAATATTTGATATAATGAGGAAAACCTCAGTCTTTAGGTTAAAAAAGATTGAAAGATTAAAAATAAGGTTGTTATTGACAACAGTTTTTATTTATTTTTTGTTAAACAACCATTGTTGTCATGGAAACGCACATTGTTTTAATCATTTTACCATAATATGACATAACACCATATATTGTATTGTTGACAAAGCAACATTATCAACTGAATTCGGCTCAGAATCGCTTTTTTTGGTAGCAATTGTTCATCGTTGCTTACAGATATACATTAAATTCCTGTCTATAGCTTGCCTACCCTACATTCCACCTTCAACAGTGGCTGTACCCGCGTACAAAGTATGTCTGTCCATTTTTTTGTTTTTGATTGAGATAAATTTAAGTTTAATGTTGTATTCGTTTTAAAAAGTATTAGATATATACAAAAAATGTCTTTTAATATTCTTAATTTAAGTTCTAGCTTTCTGTTTTGTACTTTGTTAAGTTAATGTTCATCATTATCATATATAAATTTCCATTTTTGTAATTTGTCAATTTGTATCAATCATATATTCAAAGAGCTCAGGCCCATTAAATTTTGAAATAAATAAATAATATTCTGATAAACATTATTTTTTAATCTCATTTTATACTATATACTTCAGAATTTTAAAGGGAAATATAAATTTCCACTTAAATAATCTTCTTGTGTTTGTGTATTTGTATAGGGTATAAGGTATTTAATGTATTTATTTATTTTTAATGTATTTTTTAATGCATCCCTTGTTTATATCCTTGTTGAAACTCGAAACTCTAATTTGTCACTGTGTTGACTGTAAGTTGTATACTTTTTGATTTATGGGAAATATAATTAAAAGTCCTTAAGTATTAAAGAGTATTGTTTAATTTTTGAAAGTAAATTATAAAAGCTATTCCTTGTACCAACATTAACTTTACTAAGCATAAAATTATAAATAATACTATTTATTTGCAATATTACAATGTACACTGGGTATACCAATAAAGAATAATATTTTGATAATTAACAACGTTCATACGTTTTAGTACTTGAAATAATTATATTTTAATCTTTATGAATGGACTTAAACTTTAAATTTTAACATTTTCCTTGCCGTTTCATGGTTCTAATTTCAAAACTAATTCAAATAATCTTAAAAGCAAAATAAGTAAATGGCAAATAATAAATTAATCATTTTTGTTTTTATTATGAGTTGGTTTTGTATTTATTTCACTATTTTAATATTGTAGTTGTGGAACACACGCATATCAGCTGGTTGTGAAGAACACGGAATTAACATACATAATTTCAAGGATAGTTTATCCAGATGTGATATACAGCTGAACAAAAAAGTATTGGCTGATTTAGCTATTTGGGAACCTAGCTCATTTAAAGTAAGTTTTTTTTTTTTTGTAATAATTATTTTTTATCTGTCTTTATAAGTACTATATTTTGTAATATCCAATTGAAAATTGTGTATATTTCATATTTTTCAATTTATTTTAACCTATGTTTGTATCATCCATTTTGAATAGTTTATTTAAAATACATAATAATAATATTTTCATTTTTTATTTCAGGCACTTTCAGATTTAGCAAAATCTGTGTCAATTGATTATAATTTACCAGGGGCTGATAAATATGAAAAACCAACACACGTAGTGACAAGAGGTTTATTACTTAAATAATCTTTACACCAGTTATCAGCTAAATGTTATTAGAAAATAAATAATAACTCATTTTTTGTAGAAGTAAATTAATAATATATATATATTTTATAAATTGTGAATTTATAAGATGTATTTTTTATTGCTAAGTACAATTTATAATGAACCTTGTATTAAGTTTTTGAGAATTTGAATTAGTTAAACAAGTGTAATTCACATAAATCAAAAATTATTGTATGATATTATCAACTATTACTTTAATATTAATTTACTATGTATACATTTTTGGATGCGGGTCCATAGAGTACAGCCTATGAAGCTTGTGTTTAAAAATGACCTTGGTAAAAATTATTTAACTAAACGTGGTAGTTTTAAAAAAAAATTCTGGTGTTTTTTACAGTATTTACTTATTGCTATTTGGTAATGTTCGAATTTTTTTATTTTATGTTGATTTAAATTTTGTAATTTCGTAATTATCAGCAAATTCAAAGTTTTTGACTTACATGATTGACAAGTCTGACAGGTTTTTATCATGTTTTATATTAATAACTACACTGTAAGTTAAAAATATATTATTCTGGACACCAGTGGTTCCCAATCTGTGATCCGTATTGATAGAAATGTTGAACAACAGTGGGCTCCCGGTGGTTATTGATTATTACGTTTTCTACATATAATAGTATTTAGATGTTATATACATAGGTATTATTTTATAGTATAATATTATCGTTTATTTTTAACAGGTTAGGAAACGGGAATACCGTTGATTGTGACTGAAACGTTATTACCAGTTATTAGTTAATATAGACAAGATATTGTTATACAAATTTGTTTTGACTATAAGGTAGAAACAATATCGTCTTTATATGATAAAATTACTGTCCGTCACATTAACAACAACAATAATGGTAACGTTTACGGTTTTATATTGATAAAAATAGACATGGGATGCTACATAATTTGATGGCAAATGTCAACAATTATTGGGGCTAATTATAATCATAAAATAATTTTAAAAAATTTGAGATACATCGTACTGTATCTGTACGTAAGATACATAGAGGGTAATTGATAATTTATATCTGAACGCAATTTGATAAATCGCGAGTAAACGAAAAACAAATTCGATTCATATTTTTCACCAATTTACACTTCAAATTGTTTAATATTTTGTAACTAAAATTCATTGTTGGTATGGTTTAAATGAATTAACACATAAATAAATTAATGATTAAAATAAATTGCAAAATGTATAGCCATCCTGATAAAAAGAAAAAAACTTAAATAATTTTATTAGCGTTGAGATATTTTTTGAAAATAACACCACATCTAGAAAGTGTTGAAATATTAAGTAAATAAATGAAAAATAATCAATTTTTTTTACATTGAAATAGAAATATATTCATGGCATTAGTATACCGAAGCACACAAGGGCTAGACATTAGAAAATTAACAAGTGCTCAATAAACAAGGGGGGGGGGAGTTGGGAGTTAAAATTCTCCGAAAATTGTATATATTATATTTTGTTGCGGGAAAATAATTATTTCAGTCTATCAAATTAGAACATTGTACATTTTTTGTTTAACATCTCTCCCAAAATGAATGAATCAGCTGGTACGTCATAACCATAGGTTTACCATAAAACAATAATGTGCTAAACGTAATAAAAGTGTACCAGATTTGGTACACATCAAGATTTTACATAAAGGTTATATTATGACATAATTGATGTACTGTGCTTATAAGTTCATAATTTATTTATTAAAAATTTAAATCATATTATTAATACAAATTAAATATTAGATCTATCATTTCATATAAATATTTTACTTAAATTATGAATATAAAAAAATGACCTAGATGATTCAAATTTTTATCTTAAATTATTGTAGAGCACAGAAATGTATTTTTCATTTATCTTGAGAAGGTAAATAAGATACAACGTATACAAACACACCTATTTAGATAAAACAACACTGAACGCGTGATCTATAAAAGACAACTTCGCGCTGGATTTTTATTGAAAACTTAAGAAAAATAGTATAATCGGTAAGTTTGTACGCTGTTGGTCAACTCTAATTTTTTTAATGAATTAAAATATTTTACAATTTGTATTGTAATAACGATGGGGGGAAGGGTAGAACTGTAGATGGTAAAATACGTTTTTCTTGCTTCAGATTGGACTCTGCAGGTTACAGTTACGAAACGCATCTCTACATTTTAAGTTCACTGTTGAGGGGGATTAGGGAGACTGTAGGATATTGGCCTAGAGGGGATTGGGATATGCCGAGGAGTAAAACAGCAACATAGGAAAAACATAGGAATTACTTATATTTCGAGTTTGGTGAAAGTTTGGTTTTGCGGGAATAGTCAGCATATTGTAATTTAGTTTGGCGGGACAGGAAAAGGGTTAGGTAGTTTCGGCGGTCTGTATAATACATAGAGAAGTATAATATTATAATACACGAGATGATTTGAATTTCGAGGTCGTCTGTATACCTGTAACTATTGCCTACCTAGTAAATTACTATATAGGTATACTTTCCGATTCCTACAGGTACACATACAATACAACTAGATAGCCAATCGGCTACAACAATGGTTTTCAACCTCGGGATTTAGAGTGACAGGAGGGCGCCAAAAACCATAAACATCATATATTATACTGTACATCGTAGTATTATTGAAGTTCTATTGAACGATTTTCGTCTAACATGAAAAAAAAAAAATTAAAGAGTCGCAATTCGTAAAAAGTTGAAAACCACTGGCCTATTATGTGATAGTAAATCTGAAGCTTCTAGATAGCAAATATTTACCAAAAGGCCGAATTTTATCGATTAATCCATCAAATATAATAACTATAATAATATGCTCACACCATGAACTATGTGCTAAATTGAACTTAATCACAAATTGCAGGTACGTTTGTCATCTGCAGAAGTACGTAACGTATTTTTTTTTTTTTGTTAAAGAATTTCAATTAAAATTATTATTATTATACCCACCCAACTTTTCATTTACAACAGCGGCTCACGCGTAGTGCAAAGTTTGACCGTCGGGTTTTTTTTTATGATAATATAAGATTAAATCAAACGATATTTTACACCGTATTAGTAGGTACGCAATTTTTTTTAATAGGAAAACAATATTTTTGTGTTGATTTAATTGGCTATTTTCTCATCACCTAATTATTCAACAGAGGAATAAATTATAATATTATAATTTATGTGTGAACAAAAAAAAAAAAATTATGCCGGTAATCTCATGGTAAGTGCTCACTTAAAATTACAAAAAATAATATTATACTATATCTATATTAAATATAAACAGTTTTGAACGATTGGGTACTGGTAGACTGGAGCAAAAGAAGAGGTGTTGTAGGAATTGTCGTTGTTATAATAATATGTACAAACGTGTTCGTGCATAAATGTCGAGTTGTATGATTATTAATAATATTGCGTTTGCATAAATTCAGTATTCGGTTAGTCACTAGAGATCAATGTAGTTTGCATTAATGAGAGCTGTAATAAAAAACTCCAATTTTTATTGAATCCGTATTCCGTTGGTTCAAATTTCGTACCTGTGGGGTGATGTAGTCGTTAACTTTTTAGTGAGTATACGAAGTGATGTATCTAATTGAAACTTACATATTTAGATTAGAAAAAGCCTATGAGCAAAAAAGTCATCAGTAAGTCAGGTTATGTATTTGCATGTTTCGAAAACATATTCAAAGTTTATAGTGCGTTATTTTGCATATTTAATGATTTTGTAGTTTTAAGAGCATATTTCTCAATTTTACCAGTTTTAGATACATATTTGAGAACTCATGATAATATTATATAAAAATGCAGTAGTTAATAAATAGATGGGTTCATTTTGAATCATTTCACTGGATATTATTGTATCGCGATTTTCAAATATTCATCTAACAGCTTTTGTCAAAATACGATTACACAAAGTGATTTTTTTTATCATGACCAGTAATTTTCTCTGAAAATTTTAAGTGAATTTGATTTTTGTTTTTTTTTTTTAATCATTGTGTGAAATCGGTTAAATTTGATTTTAAAAAAATTTCTAATTTTTCACCACTACTCCATACACCTTAAATAAGTATTTACTTTTGTTTTTCAAATAAGAACTTTTAAATTGATAACTCTAAGTTTAATTATCAGAGTTTCATTTGAAAATAATACGTACATTTTACAAAACGCACCTTCAAATTTTTCCGTGTATACTAATCAAGAAAAACGCGTAATTCAAGACAATTGAAATTTCAGTTTTTTTTTTTTTTTTTTGAACTATTCTAAAGTAGGAGAAAGGTTTAATAGGCTGTCATTGTTTTTTTTTTTTTTTAATAAATTATATTTCAATTGATCGTCATATATTCTTTATTCTTTATTGGGTTTGAAGTGCCTGAACTCCTAACCCCCCCCCTCCATGTACTCTACTGCATACACTTATTAATTATTATTTTGCTCATAAATGTTATTTTATTTATTTTATATTAATCAATGTCATTCGGCTTTTTAGCAATATAGAGTTAATAATCAACAAAAAAATATAATACATGAAATAGTGTGGGCGTGTAGCGGCCCCAGAGCCTGATTTAGAAATTTTAAGACCTTAATTTTAATCAGCATTCTAATTCGGTTATGCGCTTTGAGGGGTCCGCATTGGTGAGAGATATTACCCAATCATCTAATTGACTCATTTTTTAGGTTAACCAATGCGACTAGGATAGAAGAGTCAATTTTATTTTCCAATAGTTCCTCCAAAAAAGAAATACTCATGGAATGCTTACGTTCCGCAAGTGAAGCTTAATTAAGCACTTTAGAAACCAAGACATAGTCATAAGGATCACAGGGAATGTTCAACAAAATACGACTGAAGATTACGTTGGTAAGTACCTATATTAAAATTGCTGTAGACTATTAAACCTGATAAGTTATGTAATTTTGCTGTTTAATTTAGGTAATACTCGACGATAAAAATGTATCTTATTATATTAAGATCGTTGATTCGATATGAAAACGCTTTTACGACAAATTCAGAGACAAGGCTTAACTAATCTATATGGACGTTTCCCGGGCCACTAGAGTACAGTTGTATTTTATAAATTGCAGCTATATTATAGCTATAAGGTGCATGCATAATAAATATAGTAATATTCATGTAATTACACAGACTCGAATTCCGGAATACCCGACCGACAACGATGGGCCCTCCGAGACAAACTTACTATTGTGCTTCTGCCAAAAACATATAATATTATTGTTGTAAGATTCCGAGCAGTATGACTGTGCGAGGAACCTATAGTATATTCGTTTTACAATGATGCGTGACTTTAATTTATGTACGTTGTACGTTCAGAAGTCGACTGTTTTATATAAAGACTTTTTGTTAAGAGAGTATTTTTTATAATGCATTAGTTTTTTTTTGTTCGTCGGTAAAATAGCTAAAACAATCTAAGTTGTAAAATTAATTTCACAGTGATATAATAATATTTTTATATTCAGGGATGAAGGGCATTTTTGTTTTATGTAATCTGGTCCTCTCATTATTTTTAAGTATAAATGGAACAAGTATTTGTGTATTGTATGTAGTTTAACTGTATTTTCAATATTTAATTGTTTTATTTATTTAAAATTGTATTTTATTTATTGGTTGTATTAAAAATTATAGAAAACTGATTTAAGCCCTTTTTCCCTGGGATCAAAGATATTACACTCATATGCTCGTACAGGCTACCCCTATGGAACGGTTGCAGTGGCCACTTAGACTTGACATACATACAGTCAGTACTATGCGGTTGAGAGACATTTTGATTTCTTAAAGCACCAACATTGGGATAGGGTTCTTAAATTCTAATAATACAAGTTAAAACGTAAGTTAAGGTATGGCGGCATCAAATAGATAAAATAAAAAAAAAATTTACCTGTTCTCAGTTCGTGATCAATTATCCGTCCAAACTTATACAAGTATAAAAAATAATAATAAATAAAAGTTTTCTACTAAAAGTTTATAGATAAAAAGTTTTTTGAGAATTTTTCCACAACCTCTGAATGTACAACGCACATAAATAAATGGCACGCATCGTTGTAAAGAAAATATATTAGGTTCCTCGTAACGCTCAGAATCTTAAACAACAACATGATACGCTTTTGGCGGAAGCACAACAGTAAGTTTGTCTCGGAAGGCCAAACGTCAGATATTAGGGTTTGTGCTTATATTTACAGGAGTAAGTAACTAAATTTACTATATATGAACCTTATATCTGTATGTGCATAATATATGTATTAATTATTATACAAACACAGTACTTAGAGTTGTATGTGTGTGGCTCGGATAACGCCCATATAGATGTAAAGCCTTGTTTCAGGATGTGTTGTGAGCATATAAAAAAAAAATACCGGTTTCCGGGTCGTTTCGCGAAATTATTATACCAGCCAAAAATGCGTGCAAAGCGAGATAAATCGATCTAACCATAGGCGGTACTAGAGTTCTAGACCCTCTTGGCAGGCGCGGGGGCAGACAATATTACGGACATACTTCACACGATGGATGGACCACTGTTGTAGGTGTGAAGTTGGAAACGTAGAGGGGAAATTTTATGTATATATGTACACAATGATTAACCAATGCAAACGAAAGACGATTCTGTGCGGAGTTTGGTTAAGGTGTTGGTTTGTCAACATTGTATATGTCTTATTATGGGCCAACAATTATAAAGTAGAGCCATAAAAAAATGAGATTTCAGGGGAAAAAAACCATACTGATAGCCCAAATAGGTAAATTTTATTTAACTTGTATTTAATAAACTATTAAATATAGACATTATCATACATAAAACATATTCGTTATAAGTACTTATAAATCATGAATGTATTGTTATAAATGTATATTAAAAACAAAAGTATCTCAACAACCAAATATAGAAATATTTTGAACATGTATAATAACTATAATAATGAATTCTATCATCACCCCAAATTAATTGGACTCTCGTATTACATTTTGAAATAGCATAGCTGAACTTCGTCACGTAAAACAGTACCATAGAAATGTAGGAACAATAAATAGGAACATTTAGTCCAAAAACTTTTAGGAAATCAAAAAAAAAATTAAAATACATTTTCTTATTTTTATAATAAAAACGATTGGATAAAAGAAGAAAAGGTGCTACACTTGTACACCGGAGCAAGTTTTATTAAATAAAAGTGGTCTACAATATAAAAAAAAAGTACCTTTGTGAAAAAATTTAAAAAAGAAAAAAGTCGTCCGATTATTTTGGAAATTTTACCTCGTCTAGGTGAGTCTAATATAAGTATTATTACCAAGCTTCAAGTTTCTGCGTGTATTTATAACCGAATTACAGCAAAAAACTATCAACAATTAAAATTCGTTAAAAGCTCAAAAGTTTTGGCATTAATACTGTTATAAAGAAAATCAAAAAGGCAACAAAAAAGGTATATTGTGATTTTTCGAATAAATCATTTTTTCCGGTAGAAAACGTCGTCCGTGTTTTTATAAAATAACTAAACCGTGAAATTGTAGGTTTTCCTACGTTATTTTCCACTTAAGTGCTTATATTTAAAAAATGGCGTCGAAATTCAAAAAAATTACCTCTTCAATGTATAATTAAGACAACTTGAGTTTTTAAAAAAATTGCTACACTTAAAAGTTGAAGCAAGTTTACTAGAAATAAACGTGACCACAGACTAGAACAAAAGAAGAAATAAACAGCAATGTAAAACCAATAGCTCCCTCCCTACGCTCGGAATCTAAAATGACAATATCGATTTCGGCTAAAATTGAACATACGACCTTTTGCAATTGGGTTACTCAATTATCGTGTAATATAATATAGTAGTATATTAAATTTAAATATTATTATTTTCTGCTTACGTAAAATTATTGTATTATTTTTATATTATTATGTCAAAGGTCAGGCCAGTGGTAGGGCCATTGGTAAGGCCAGTCAAAATCTAAAAAAAAATCGAAGAACTTAATTTAACTGAAAAAGTTGTTGATGAATCTGGAAAAAATAAAATAAAATTGCAATTTGTGTTCAATTATAGTTATTACAATTAGTATAAAATTTAATATTATATTATAATACTTTTAACGATTTTTGAAAATACACATAATACATTAACGAAAGTATTTAATTATTAATAAAAATTAAGGCTGCCCCCTCTAAATTTTTACCTCCGGGCAGCCTTGCGTTCAGAACTTTCAATAGATTTCTATATCATGAACCTCAAATTTTTAAAAAAATAATTGGTTTATTAGTTTTTTTTTTTTGCAGGCCATAATAATTTTTCAAAATAATTTATGATGTAAAAAATAATTAGCACAAAATAAAAAAATAAACTGATTAAAATTAAAAAAATAAACTAAAAACTTGACGTTTATTTACCTCATATGGTGATTTATCAAAAATTTCAAAAATTTGTTTCCTATAGGCTAGCTAAATAAGCGTATTTTTAAAATTTTTTTTTTTGAGTAATTAGTATTTAGCCTGAAAAAAAAATAAAAACTAATTAAACAGCTATTTTTGATCAATTTGACACTCGTGAACTCTAGAACCTTTTTTTACTTAACCGTATATAATATCACGAGAAAATAAAGAATACATAAAAAATAATTCCCGGTCCATCTTAACTATCACGTAAAACGGAAAGAAATAATATCAGAGTTGATTATAATTTATGATATGTATTATATAAATTCATTTGTTTTTGCTTGTAGTTTATAATAAAACCCATACAGTTGTAATTTACATTTTAAAATAATTACATGTGCTAACGTTAATTGGAAAAGTGAGTTTATTATAATTAAAAAATAAAAAAAAACTGTAGCTTTTTTCATGATATATTCTTACATTATACCTACACGTTAATTTATTTGTATAAAATATTATATGATACTAGCTGAACTACCCGTCGTTGCCGGGTTTAAGTATATAAATTTATGTAATCTGGCAAAACTAAATATTGTTTATTCTATTTAAATAAATTTTAATTAAGATTGTTGAAATAATATTTTATACATATTAATTAGTTATAACTAATTATTTAGTTAATTAGTTTAATTAATTTAGCTAATTAGTTTTTTTATAACCTATTCTATTATAGATATAGCTTTTGGTCGTAGCTTCGTTTGCGATAAATTTTAGCAGTGAAGGTTTAACATATAAATGTTTTATTAATAGTTATTCAAAATATTATATACAAAACTTTTTTGTAGACAATATTCTTCGCTGATCTATTAGTAGGAGCCAAAATCACCAAGCTACTGGGTGAGCTTACGCGTAAACAAGTTACGTAGAACTGCCCGCGTGTAAAACAGTTTTCTCGCAAGTCTACTCCCGCAAATTTGAGAGTCTGGCCTTGAGACTTTGTTTTATAGTTATTGCAAAGCAGACTCTGAGAGAAAACTGTAATCTTTTAAATTCGAACGGAAGATCGTTCGGAATTACAGGAATTCGTGGTACAAATACAGTTTCCTCTTTCGCACATCCAGTTAAAATTGTGATAATATATGAAAATTATATTGTGATGTAAGGCCTTGACTTTAAGCCTGGTCCCGTTGCACAGTTTAGGCGGTTTCAAATTTCACAACAACATAAAAGGTGTGCCCACACGCAGAATAATGATACGATATGGCATACCCGGTAGTTTTAACAAATTTAAAAATTCAACAGGATAATTAGTTGCATCGTCTATGATGTCTATGTTGACCACCGTGTCTATCAAAGTATGTACTTTTTCTTCCCCCGTAAAAGACATCAGCAGTGTATTATTGATAGCCGCCACTTGGTAATTTTTTGAGGTAATTATAGCACGTTCACACAACTATTCCATAGGCTTATCATGCATATGAGCAATATCTGGATACATTTTTGATATTAAATCCTGAACCGTATAGTTACAACTGTGCACAAATTTTCTGGGATGGTTATATTTGTTCAGCTTTTTTTTTTTCATAAACATATTTAAAAAAAAAAAAAAACAGATTTTTTTGTAAGTAGTTACAATCATTAAATGCATACAAAGGTAAATACATTTATAAAATAGTGTTCATAAAACAGTGCTATTCCTAGCATAATCAGACGGGCATTTCCCTGGCACCCCAACTCGGAATTTTGGAACCAAACTAGGAGTCTTTTTTTGTGCTATATCGTGATGATTTGTGCCCAACTTTGGGCATTTGTTACTCCTAATGAACTACATGGGTTATTTAGTGGGGGAGATGGTGGTATGTATATGGTATTAATTCAACCTAATGTATAACTATATTTGATAATGTGTAATAGTAAAATAAATTACTTTAATATCAACTATATCATAAAATATACTTAGTGTAAATTCTTTATAAAAAAAATGTACTTACACTTTTTGTTAAAATTAAAAATGCTAATAATTACTCGATTTAATTTATAAAATAATAATTTTAATATATTTAATATAAAAAAAATTTGGTTTTTTTTACACATTACTTTTATAGTTTGTTATTATGTATCCTTTTTAAAGATGAGATTTAAAGTGAACAATATAATATAGTTTATAGTTTATTATAAAATGTATAGTAGAAACTTATTCAATAACGTACAAGTAAAATCTTATACGTACCCTATAAATACGAAGTTCCTAATTTTTTTTAAAAAACATTTAGTTTGGAATTTGTATGACTTAAGCCTATTTCTAAAGATATTTTTTTTCTATTTTATGCGATTATTTCAAAACAAATTCTGGGCTGACTCATTGAATTTAACACATTCATCACGGTGACCTACTCTGTAAGGACTAGATTGACAACTAGTACAGTAGAGCGAGAAACAAAATCAACAGCTAAAAATTTACTTCAATTGATCAATTTTGACTTTTTCTGTTTATTTAATACTTGGAATCAAATTTTAAATAATATAAATCGTGTTTATCAAGCTTTATAAAACAAAAGCTTTACATTTAAAAACAGAAGCATATCCAGTATTTGAATTTGAAGGTTTAAGTAATATTATTTATGATACTTCTGATGCAGTTCTGCTGCTGTAGATGCCAGACTAAGAAATGGATGACCACGCGAAACACGAATCAAAGCAGCTGTCAAAGCTGTCGAGCAAAGAATCCGCAGAAATTCACTTCGTTAGCAAAAAATCATGGCCCGAGAAATGAAAATCCCACTAAGAACAATGTCACGTGTAATTAAAGAAGACCTTGGCCTTAGTGCATGTCGAAGAAGCACCGGTCAAAGGTTAACAGAAAATGTACGTCAAATTGGAGCGACAAGAGCGAAGACGTTACTTCAGCAGTACGCGGAAAATCGCCATCGACAAATCCTCTTTACAGATGAACAAATAATATTCACTGTAGGCGAAAAATGTTGGGCCTAATCTTACGGGCGAATTTCAATCGGAATTAAAATAATTCACGAATATTCGCGACGAACATTATTACCGTAATATTGTGTTCTACCCGCCGAAAATATGGCAACGCGGGCGGGTACCGTAATCATTATTCGCGACTACGCGATATTTTCGAGTACGGCGGTCGCTCACTCGCGGTTAACAAGGAGAACGAACAGTAAAGCCGTTTTGCGATTGCGTTGCGTGTCAGACGCGACGATGTCATAATGTTCGGCGGGCATTTCGAATGAATCATTATAATATTATTATTTCGTTATCCGAACTGCCGGGCGGGATCGCGTCCGGGCCAGTGTTCGCGCAGTCGAAACGCGTGTTGAAAATACCGTTTTCCGGCGTAGTTCCCGTAACGGCGCACGTCGAATCCAAGGTGCCGCACTCGCGACAACGATAATTACCCGCTGTCGTCTAGTTCGCCAATTATTTTAACGCGCCGTGGTTCCGGGCTGTGGCCGCCGTCGCGGATGGGTATTTCATTAGCGTTTCGGTTCCGCGAAACAGTAAACGCCGTAGTCTCGCAGCGACAGTCGGCGAGAACCGCGATGAGGGGATCGAAAACGGTCGCGATATTGTCATTCGTGGCCGTCGCCTTGCGAACGGCCCGGGCTTTCCGCGGCGAAGACGACCACGACGCGAAATGGGTCCGAATGTGCACGATGACCGACAAGCAAAACCATCGCGACGGCGCGCAGTTCAACGCGACAATGCCGTGCGGCGTGCACGTCCGCCCGGACCCGGAACCCGGCAGCGGCGGCGGCGCCCTTTCGCTACACGAAACCGCACCGGTCGACGACTCCGGAAAACGCGGAATATCGACGGCCGCGGACGCGGTTAACGGAAACCGTCGCCAGAGTTCGGAAGACGACGAAGACACTGGCATGGTCCGTCTCGAGACGTTGCAGGTCGACGTCGCGGGCCGTATGACCGAAAGCGTTTCGCACCGAGGCGACGGTGACGGCGGCGACGACGCTGAAGACGACGCCGACGGCGACGTTACCGGCCCGGAAATTGAAAGCGTTCCGGGCGGCGACGGGACCGCGGCAACCGATGAAGACGACGCGACCGTGATGGTAACCGACGAAGACGACGGCGGTGACCAAAACGACGTGGCCGTGGAAACCGACGAGGACGACGGCGGTGACCAAAACGACGTGGCCGTGGAAACCGACGAGGACGACGGCGGCGATCGAAAAGACGTGGCCGTGGAAACCGACGAGGACGACAGCGACCGGCAAGACGTCGCCGTGCAGACAACCGACAAAGACGACGGGACCGTGGTAACTGAAGACCACAGACAAGAATACGAAGACGGCGGCGGCAGCGACGACGTTACCGTGATAATGGAAGGCGACGGCGGCGGTGAGCACGAAGGACTCGAATACCTGCGGAAACAGGGTAAAGTTGCCAGAGTGTTGCTCACGTACCTGATGAGCGCCCGAAACAAGCTGTACAGCAAGATACGTACGAATATTATTATCAGTATCTAAGATGAATGAAATTTCGAACTGCACTATTTTATAAATGCACGTCCTTTCAAAATACGATCAGTTATAAACAAAAAAATAAAGTCATCACCTGTTTGTGTGTATACACGTGGGTGTTCGTCTGCGCATTTAAAATAATAATAATAACCAGAAAAACAATTTATTTACTACCCCCAAAATAAGTTGTCACGGGCAATTGCTTCCCTGCCAAGAAATCCCGCCTAGAAATGAAATACAAGGTACTGTTTAAAAAAACATAGGTACTGGTTTTACACTCAAAAATAAAAAAAACGTCCAACGATTATAGGGACGGGCGCAGCCACTGTTATAGGTACTTTAATGTATATCTGTTAGCAACGATTAACCATTGCTAACGAAAAAGCGATTCTGAGTGGAGTTCAGTTGAATGTGTAGTTGCTTTGGCAACAATATATATATATCTTATATTACGGAAAAATAATTACATAGACAATATGTATTTTCTTTAAAAATATTAATTGTTAAATATTTTACCTATTTTCCCGTTTTTCCTACGGTTTTCCACCGGATTTCCCATTTATTGGAAAAACTAATGAGAAAAATCAAAAATCACCTCTTTAAAGAGAATCTCCTTGTGCCGATTTCCTATTAGAAAAGGTGCTACACGTAGAAATCCGAGTAAGTCTTCTGGTAGAAAAATTGCGCACAGATTAAAAAAAAAAAAAAAGAAATAAACATCTTTGTTTAGCCATAATCATCTTCGCTCCACTCGGATTCTAAAACATTTTTATTTATAAAATAAATATAACTGGATAAAATATAAACACACATTTTTCGCATAAAATAATATTCAAAAATGTATTTTCCAAGTTTAATTATATTTGTACAAGTATAAATCATATTTTTCTCTGGCTTAAACAAAACCAGCTCTTGATACCAATTTTATTTTTTGGCATTTGTATGCATTTTAGAATATCTTTTATTTATTTAACTAATAAAAAACGGTTGTTCATATTTACATGCAGGGAATCTGTTATTACTGTAGGACAGTGGTGACCAACTTTTGTGTGCAGAGGGTCATAAAAGAAAAAAATCCTTGACGGGTTAAGAATTTAAACTTTTATTTTTAAATTAATAGAATATTGTAATTTATTGTAGGTTTATCTTAATATAGGTACGGTGATATATTTAATTGTCAATCATTTATTGATTGTTATAAACGACAAAAAAAAATGTAAATTATAAACATATCTTTTTTATTATGAGTGTTAATTTTTGAAATTTTGAAGGTATTTTCTTTTTTCAATTTTTATTCAATACTTTGGTGGGTCGATTAATAATTAAATAATCGAGGGTCGGATTTGGCCAGCTTGCCGTAGTCGGTCACCATTGCTGTAAAGAAGATCTTGTTGCAGATTTTAATACGTTGCAGTACGAAGGTAATCTTTTAACATCAACCGAATGTGATTTAACAGATTGAATGTGAGGTTATAGAACTTTGAAAAAAATGTATTATTAAGAGCTCTCGGGCTCCTCGTGACCACCGTCACGAAAACACCGTGTTGCCGTGAATTTATAGTACGTTGCTTATCACATAACTAGAACAATCAAACTATTAAACGCTTATGGTTTTTTATTTTAGATTCTGAATGAAGCGAAGAGGCTTATAGTTTTATAATGATGTTTTTTTTTCTGTGGACAAATTTTCTACCAGCAATTTCGCTCCAATTTTCAATGATAGCAGTTTCGCTGAAAGGAAATCTTACTGGAGTGGTTCTTTGAGGAGGTAATTTTATGATTTTTCCAGGAGATTTTTCTATAAATGGAAAAAACCGGAATAACACGGGAAAACTGAGAGCACGGTAAAATTGGTACAATATTAGACAAATATTATTTAAGAAAACGTTTAATGCATAATTTACCAAAATATGACATGTATAGTGTTGTTAAAGCAACATTATCAACGGAGTTTCACTCAGAATGGTTTTTTTTTTAAGCAATGGTTAATCGTTGCTTACAGATATACATTAAATTCCCGTCTATATCCTACCTTCTCAACTTCCCACCTACAACAGTGACTGCACCCGTCCCCATTATCCTAGAACAGTTTTTTTTTACTTATCAATGGACGACACATTAACATAACTCTAAAATAATGAACACACTTTTTCATTTCATTTTGCATTAACAGTGTCGTACTGATAACTATTCGATTATTATGCCGGTTAAATATAGTATGGTATTCGCATTTTTCAATTCTTCCGTTTTTCAAAAAATGTCCTCTTAATATTTGAAAAACCAAGAAATTTCCAAAAAATGAATACCTACAAAGACAATGGTACGAAAATGTCGATATCGGAAATCTTTCGCGGTATTTTTGATTGGAATAAATCTTCTGGTCAACATCGTGTATACGGTATCCCGTTTTATTTGTAAAATTATCAAAAAAGGCATTACATATATAATATTATACCGAAAGAAAAAAAGGTGCTTAACTTAGTATAAATACCACGTAAAATTCACAAAATGCCATCAATGCACATTATCAAAGTGCTTCGTATCATATAAATATTTGGTTAAACCATTACCAAAATGTAATTTTATAATTCGTTTTTTACGTCTACTGAAAAAATAATTTTTGAATTTTAAGATACGAGGTATTGTTTTACTGTACGACGACGATGTGTTAAATCATTTTTTTTTCACTACTTGTTTATAAGTACGCGAATGGAATTTTCGAAATAGCAAGACTATTTTCCGAATATTTTTTTTTTGTAATCGATTTTTTTTCTTTTTTATCTTTAATTCTTTACCGCCAAAACGATTCCTTTCTATAGTATTATATTATTTATATTTCAATTTGTTTATTGTTCCACCCTTTCTTTCATCTTCATTATAACCTTCTTCAGAAACACCAAGGCACGCTTTATCCATCATTTCCTTCTTGGCATCACGTTTAATAACCTACAATAATATGAAATTTACTTTGTATTTATTTTTCCATCATACAATCACCAAATCTCATTCACAAAAGTAATATATTATTTTCGTTATATTTATTATGTCTCACAACACTTGTATGTTATTTTATTTGATTTTTTTTTTTTTTTCGTTTAGGTTATATATTGAATTTATTACAAAACACATTTTACAAAGCGAAACTTGAACGTCGGAGACGCCGTAGCTCGGTTGAACGGCAGATGATATTGAATGCGAACAAAAACCAAGGGAATAATATCGAAAAACAATCAATTAGTCCATTAATGATTACGGATCCTTTGTTTGAGCGTTCGCTGATGACCATGTCATTCTTAATGTTTGGCGTATTCGTCATACAAGTGGTACAGGTAAACACGCGTCACGCAATAAACATTGAATGTTCATATTTAAAACACCGTACAAGTTACAAATATGGTTTATGTTTTTTTGTATTTATACATAGAAACTAATGCGGATAATACAAAGATCCGATGAGGTCTCATCTATGGACAGTTTTATGTCGAGAAATTTACCTATGGCGTCGTCTAGTATATTCAACCACGGTTAGCGAGCATTTTATACCAATACCCATTATAATACTTTAACTAAAAACCATCGGTCAGATTTCAATACACTGCATTTCTGTAAGTAGATATTACATGCTTGTATAGGTTATGAATGTTAATAGGTAAAATCATATTTACAATGTAGTAAGTTTCATAAAATATGTATCTATCTAATCAATGTATCTTTAACAAAGGTCATTAGGTAATTTACGGTTCAGCTGGTTTGATAAAAGATAATGTTGTCTACATTGTAGCGCGAATTAAAATTAATAAATTTATACGTTAAAATAACTATATTTTATAAGGTATAAGTATCTTAAATACAAATTTATAATTTAAATACATCTAAGAATTTTATTAAATATCATATGCGTCACGGTTAAATATTCGTTTATGCTTGTACACCCACGGATTATTAATATGGATTTTTTTTCTTTGAAAACGTAGGTAGGTACCTGTAGTATTCCGAGTTATTATAAAAAATGAACGTATTCGTAATATAGTAAGGAAAGTTTAAATACCCTATGTATATAACATTATGTTGGTATAGCGAAGTAGATTCGTATACATTTAGTAATATTTATTTGAAGTTCAATATTTTGAAAATACGAATATTCTACGAATTCGGGACTTTATATTGCAATACGTATCTACAAAGTTTACTCTATAGGTTTTTGATTTGTTAATATTTTTAATATACACGTGAAGTTTGATGAAAGTTATTTTTAAGATAAATTTGTTCACTTATACATGAATAGACGCTGGTAAAACGTATTCTATTATGATAAAATGTTTAATATAGATTACGGCAAATTGTTTAAAGTTTAATAATATTATTATGTTTTGTGAATAAGGTGTTTTTTAATTTGTATAAATTGTACTACAATCTGGATGTTTTTGTTGTTATATTAAGTTTATTTATTTAATAATATAATTTTGGTGAATAACTTTTGAAAATTGACAATGCAAATAATACTCGGAAAATGGATACCTACACTGTGTTACAGATGGTTTGTAGACTGAAAATGTAAACACAATTGTACATTTAATTTGACATTATCAAATCAATATACTGATATCGAATTGCGCGTATATTTTTTATTTATTATTCATTTATTGATAATTAATAATATGTTATAATTATATTATATTTACGATTTCTGTCTACTTATTACCTATCTTACTCGGATAAAATAAAGTTAAAGATATTATTACTATATGATATAGGTACGAATAATAAAAATGATAATACCCACCTAATATAAACAAAAAAAGTCATTCGAAAGTATATAAGTAGATTAAAATGTTAAAACTGACCTCATATATTGTGCGTTATAAATTGTAATTATTATAAATGATATTAAATACGAGTGTACACAAATATTTGTGTTTCATAATTATATAAAACACCGTCGCGTAAATTTTCAAATGTGTTTTGTATACCTACGGAATCGTTTCGAAAAACTTGTAAAACTTATTAATCCCGCTAAGTAAAACGACTTGGTAGGATAGGTGGGTACGTAACTTTTCTAAAACAACGTTTTGTAGATGAAAACATACAATCATATACTTACTGTCGTTTTATTTGCAGATCATATGAACGTAAATAATATTTTATAATTAACATTATGAATAGCATGGTTAAAAATAAGGATTTTGATTAAAATTACTATTATTAAAGCGTTGTATTATTATATACTGAGGGGGGGGGGATCTGTCGGTTGTTCGTTTCATCTGCCACTCCGTATAGCTCATAAAACATGTTATGTATAGAAGATATTTAATCAAAACTTTTTTTTGTATTATAGAGACTATATGGGGTTTTTTTTTCTTCTAAATAGTTTTTACCTACCTGTCTACGTTAAAATAAAACTATATTGATAGCTTACATACGTATTGATGCTGACTGCTGAGTGTAGCCAAAAAGCTAATAGTTCTACCAAGATGTATTGTATGATCGTGGCATAAACGCGTTATCACTGATAAAAGTATGATAATAAAACCATTCATCGACATTAGCATTACCATACTTATAGGAGAGGACGCTCGTATTTCCTGTCACGGATTAGCAAACGGACAACATAGAAAAAACCTACTAATGTAGACTGAGTGGGACTCGCTTAATTTTAGTTTTAGTGCTTTTAGAGTTAAATCACCTTTAAAAAAAATTAAAAATACAATATTCCAGAAGGTATTTTGAAATTACTGTAGCTCTTAAAAAAAACCACATTTCTGGCCCTTCAGAATATTTTTCTCTTTTAATTTTATAATGCAAATTTTAAAAATTACCACTCCTACAAATGGTCAATGTAAGTATTCGGAGAACATTTTAGGTCTCAATGATAATTTTAACTGAATTACACTAAACAAATTTAAAACAGTATATTTTACCGTTCTCTCATCCTCGGGTTTTCCAATTATTAATAAAACCAATCGCTTCAATATGCCAAGGTCACCAATCAAACAAAAGTTGAAAAGATTTCTGGTATATAAAAAAGGTTTACGAATACATACAAATAAAAATAAAAATCACACGTAATAGCTATTAGAACCAAACCAATATAAATTTCGTTACGCTCAGAATCGCAAAACAATAATAAAACGTACATGAATATTATTTCGTACATTATTATTGTGCAGATAAAATGCAGTAGTCCAAACATACGTGTAGTTAAAGAAGATTTATGAAACAGAAAGGCTTATCGACTAGACAATTCGTTGTGTTAATGTCCCTTTGCTTTTGTGATTAAGACGAAATAATGTAACAAACGTTTTCCTGCAGGGTCCTTTGTGTTTCTATACGCGTACTCGAAGTACATTTAACTCCGGCGTCGTAAAACTTTTTGTTCATTTTCGAATGTATTAATCATTTCAGACTTAGATTTTATCTTATGAGTTCGACTCGGAATACTACACGGTTTTAATTATTATAATATTATAATCTAAACTGCATTCGCGTGAAACAATAATAATAATAATAATAATAATAATAATATTTTAATAACAGTAATCGATGTTGTTATCAAAATAGAGGTGTTTTTTTTTTTTTTTACTTTTTTTTTGCAACGTTCGTTTGATTGAATATTAATTTTCGGAAATATTTGAAACTTGTCTAATAATAATAAATTATGATAACCAAGCGTAGGTCGGTGCCGTTTCATTTTTAATTCAGCGTAATTTCCAAATTTACAATAATTTCTACGAGTGAGGAGACATGGATACCTATATCTATACGTGACGGGACACGATCAATCATACGGTTAAAACACTGTTATAAAGTGCTTGGCTATTTAGATATTATTATTTTTATACGTTACGACATTCGATTATTAATGGTTGTAAGCGTGCGTTTGGCGCAGTTTAATACCTACTTTAATTTCAACTTAAACGTGTCACTCCAACTTCTGTCACTTTGCAGCGTCAGCTCGTTGTATTGTTTTATAATATTATGTAATGCACAATTTATGCGTCTTGAATCATTATCATTTTTTATTCTATTCAATGGATTCATACGACACGAATAATTGTAAGCACTGTCGCTAGATTTTATTATTTCAGTATGTGCCGCACACGCATGCCTACAATTTAATTATTACGATCCGGGGTTTTAAACGGCCTGCGGGAGGTGGGGGGGGGAAGAAATAATACGCCCGATTTGAAACGCACGTTGATGCGGATCTACAAACATACATACGTATTGTATGAGAAATAAAACGAGTACCGACCATCAGCAATTTCGTATTTTATAATGTAAAATGTACAACAAAAAAAAAAAAAAAATAATCGGAATGATATTACCGATAGAAAATAAAAAAACACGTCGTATTAAACTAATAGAGCGTCTTTGCTACACGTTATAATATGAACACACAAAACAATCGTGTTTGTACCCATTATATAGATAATTAATTTTGTATTTTATTTACGTAATAAATTGCGCTGCGCGTATAATGTAATCGTCGTCGTGGGGAAACAGGGAAGGGACCGAAGTTCAAACGGCTGCATCCGAGTTCCGTCCCAATAACCTTTTTTTATGTACCGATTCTCCGTCCCGGGTGAAAAAAAGGCGCGTGCCGATTTCGTACCGAGTAAAAAAGCAGTATGTACTATCATTTCCGTATCGATTAAACATTTTCTTCTCCGTGTTAAAATACATAAACGTTGTACGAACAATTCAAACGTAGTGTACATACTTTCGTGTAAACAAAAAAGTGTTATTGGGTTAAATTTGTATGATATAAAAAAAAAATAATAATAATTTATGTAAACATTTTTCTCGATAACGTTAAAATAACAAACGAATCAAATAATATTAAGGTATTAATGTAATGACGAATTCGAAAATTTAATACGATAATTGAAAGCGATATTGCCGTTGTTTCTAAATAATAAAAAATTGTTGCCGTGGTCACAAATTGTACGCTACATTAATAAACGATAAGGCGTAGAAAATGCAAAACGGGACGGAATTCGCGTGACCGAATAAATCGCACGGGACGGGACTACGGCGTAATAACCGTAGATTTGTCGCGCAAAACCACGTCGGTGGTAGGCAACAAGAAAACGCGAAGAGCATTACAGGTTAAAGCACATTTGATTGGTGCAACGTTATCACTTATTGATGTACGGCCGTATTGGAATCGGATACTTGTCGGTTATCGGGAATATACGAAATACTGAAATATGGTACCGTGACATTTTAGGATAGATCGGTCAGCCGTTATGAATAAACCGTACAACGATTTAAAAACGGTTCCGGTATAGATTAGCAACATTGAAATATTGTCACCGGCCCTCTTATCAATTTTTGGAAAAACCGTAACTCTCCGATTAAATTTTTTAAATCCGGTTATCAAATCGAAAACGAAAGGCCAGCGTAAAACCCAAAGAGTAAACACTATGCCGAATGGTGTCGATCGGACACGATCGACCAAATGTGTACGTGTCCGCCCGGCATTGTCAAAACGTGTCGAGTCGAGTCGAACACAACCCGAATCAAGTCGGTATGGTTCAAAGAGAATCGCGTCGACAACAGTAGTGTAGACGTGTCGACGTGTTATTAAATTAATTATATGTTAACGAAAACTGATTTTTGAGAAAAACATTTTTATTTTGTTTAGTTTTGTTTTGCCGTGTACGTTTATTTGATTTTAATTTTATTAAATAGTTTATCATTAATTCATGATGAATTGGAGTGATGAACAGACAATTTCTTTTATTGAAATGTATCGTGATCGAAGTTTGTTGTGGGACCCAACTAATTCGCTATACAAAAATAAAAACAGAAGGCATGATGGACTTATGGAAATTGCGATTTCTTTTGGCATGGAAAAATTTGACGTAGAAAAAAAGACAAAAAATTTACAAAGCCAGTTTGCTAGAGAAAAGAAAAAAGAGAAGGAGTCGGGCGGCGACGAACCTGTTGGCTTTTCACGACTCCAATTATGATTGCAGCAGCTGCCACTGCTATGTCTTCTGAATCACTCATTTTATAGGCGAATCAATAATATTGAATATATTAATAATAATAACAGACACTCGTAAAACACACTCGTATACGTGTTGGTACAGTTGTGTCGGTCAACTAGTCCACACATATGGTGGCCAAGCTGAAAATCGACCGTGTCGACCGACACCATTCGGCATAGTGTGGACACGGCTTAAAATACTGTGATATCACATGGTAACCCAACCTCGCGAGATCATTTATAGCTAAAAAAACTGAATATTTGAAATTATTTAAAAAAAAAAAAAAAAAAAAAAAATGATTTGATATTAGTAATTTCCAATCAATACGTATAAAGTATAGATATCAAAAGTACTTGTTCAAAAGATCATTTATAGCATTGTAACGTCCCTATTTCTGAGCTTATTTCATAACGAGAGAAAACTGTATAATTTAGTAATATAAACATAATTAATCTAGAAATTTGTTTGATCGCGATGGGAACATTCAGAAAGGACTAAGGATTAACTCGTCACTACTCGAAGTAAATTTATTATAGACAGTAAATTGTGACACGCAAAACTATTTTACACGTAAAGCAGGTAAATAGAATCAACGTCGACTATCGAGTAAACGCGCTGGCAAAGCGCGGCAAGTTAAAGTCTCAAGTCTGTACTATGTTGTTTTCCGTTGAAGTTGTACATTTTTTTTATCGATTATTATACCATCGAATTATTGTTACGATTTTTTTGTAAACATATACCGTGGCTGCGCGTTATATATTGTGGTATGATCCGGCCCACTAGAGACCGTTGCCGTGTCACGACCAAAAACGTGTCAGATTCCGCGCGCGCGGGCAGGTGTTCAGAACGGCCGGCAGCGCCTCAACGCTATACAGGGTGCGGCGTAAGATAATAGAATATAAACCGTATACAGCGGCGGTTCCCAAACTGTGCGGCGCGCGATAAGAATGTCGTACATATACAGTCTATTCAGGTTAAGAGTGCCCAAACCCGCGCACGCATACCAAGCCGCCGACAACTGTCGGACCCCCCCCCGGGCGAGATCAGACGTTCTGTGATTGGTCGGCGTTGTTCGATCACTATCGCTGTCTATCGGAGTCGGCAACGCGCCGCCGTGTATATCACACGATAATAAAAACAAAACGGGTATTCTCGGTCGCGGCATATTTTATATTATAACACAAACGATATACAAAAATACAAATACATAAAAAAAAAATGTTTTTACGAAACAATTCAAAACGTCATGTGGGTACATAAGAAAATATTTACGAATTAAATTTTCATTCTGAATCAGATGTCGTCTCTGACGACGTGTCTCCAGTTACTGTACTATACCACACTACGTATAACGCGCGTCGGTACACCACAGCTCTCCCCGTAGAAAAATACATGCGCGAACCGAACTAGTTTTCGTCCGAGCGAGTGGGCACTCTTAACCCGAATAGACTATAGTTATTTTTAGATCAATTATGCGTCTGATAACAATTTTTATGGTTTGGCGGGTTACACCGGGACGCGAGGTTTACGATAAGGTAATAAAGAAACGTTTATTTACAACATAAAGAGACATAAAACAAGTGATCGGAGGAAAAGGCGAGCACGCAACAATTGAAAACAACGTTAGTTAAGAAAAACCATTGTGTACATAATAATTATTCGGAGTCGGAAAACGATGTTTCGCGAACGGCGTCGGTGCGGAGAGAGAGCGAGCCGAGCGGTCGAGACGTCCAGTCGAGCGGAGCTGTGGACGACTGTTGACCGCCGACGGCGAGGGGAGTGGCCGACGTCCGCCGCGGGTGACGCGGGAAGAAGAAATGTGGCGCGAAACCCGCCACAATGGAAACGATTATCTTATCTTATCCATCCGATTCTTCACTACGAATGCGATTTTCTTCATATTCACTTATAGGATTTTGGATCGGTATTAAAGACGAATGTCTTGAAGTTAGCGACAAAGCTTTAGGTATATTAATGCCATTTGCCACATCGCATCTGTGTGAAACAGGATTTCAGCAGTAACCGTGTAAAAACCAAAATATCGGTACTGCCACAACGTGGGAAAAGAAATGCGTGTTGCAGTAACCACGTTAATTCCTAATTTTGAAAAAATGAATAAACGAAAAACAAGCGCATTGTTCGCGTCAATTATTTTTTTCGTATCAAATGAAATAACAAGTTTACTGTTAACTGATAGATATTAAATAATTGTTGACCTATTTTATTAATTATTCATCCGGGGAGTAGCGAACAAATTTTTTTTATTATTAGGGAGGCTTGAATGAAAAAAGTTTGGGAACCGCTGGTATACAGAATCTGTTGTAGTGAGAACGTGCGCTGTAACTGACATCTGTGTGGAGCGCGCTTTCTTTTTTAATTTTTCTATTTCGTATTTTATATTATTTACACTGGAGTACTGTGATATTTTCGGATTGGACATTAATGAATCCATCAATGTGGACGGTCTTGCCGTTATCGTGCATCATAAATTGTTTTGAAAAATGAATATTAACAATGCCAATACAAATAATAATATGTTATTTATTACTTTATCACTCTGTATAGTGTAAACACGCATTTACGACACTTTGTATGCGCGCCGTATCGCGTAACTGTTGCAGCGCATAGTGTGAAATACAGCGTCCGGCCGGTCAGCTTACGTGCGGGAAACGGTAATGATTTCTTGTGGCCCGGAGTACAGCGGACGAAGCGGATAAACTTGAATTGTACGAAAACGAACGGCACGACCGTACGAGGGGACCGTTATTAAGTGCGAAAAAAAAAATTGCAGGAAATCCGAGGATTTTCACGCGTATTGTGGGGCAAGATCTTGAGAATTTTCGTCTGGCCACGCCGGGCCGCCGCCGCCGCCGCCATCCGACCGTTTAATCCGGCCGGGGTTCAGAAACGCCCGGGGTCTGCGATTGTGCGTTCTCAGCCGTCCCGCGCCGACGTGTAAACGGACGATCGTTTTCTCATCGTAGTGCCCGTTGCGGTAAGTACCGTACTTCGCGAACTGCGGTTTACACGGTTTATACGGTGTCGGGGAACCGCGCGATAGGACGCCGCACGCGCGGCATTGTGAGAGCACGCGCGAGCGCGTCGATTGCGCAGAACTCGGTCGGCGAATTTCGGTTTCGTAGAAAAAGTGCCGATTATGAAATCGATACAGAACGATATTCCGGATGGCGAGAAGTTGCTTTTTTTTTTTTTTCAAAAACGTTTAGCGAATTACAAAAAGATGAAAAATCGTTATTTGTGAACAGTAAATAATATTCAGAGATAATAGAAAAAACGCAACGTCTTGTCCTAACGGAATGCCATTTTCTTTTAATTTTACACCCAATAGACGTTTACAAATTTTCACGCTAAAACCAAAATTAATCGTGTTTTGTGTAGTTTGCCTAAGCATGTTTCAACTGACCTATCGTGTGTTTGTAAAACGGGAAGCAACAAAAATGCATGTGAAATGTCCTCTTAACTCTTAATACCTATATTTAGAACCCTATAAGTTTTTTTTCCGATTTGAACGCAGAATTCAGTATTTAAGTATTCCTGATGGTGATGTATTTCTACTTTATCAGACACTTTTTCCCATCATATGTAGTTGGGTATAATACAAATGATATTGAAGTTAGAATTTGGTAATCTAATTCAGTATTTGAGTTACATATTTTTGAAACTAATCAAATTTTGATTTCATTGACATTTGTTTCATTAAAAAAAAAGTGTGTCCGTTAAAGTAGAAATGTTTACTGATTTTTTGTTTATTACCTAGCTATTTAATAATCATTTTTTACAGTTTGTTGGTATTAAATTATCAAGATGTCAGAGATTAATGGTGATCATAGTGATAGAAGTAGTGAAGTTGATGATTATAATGGATGTGTAGATTCTGGAATAAGGTAATTATTTATAATACTATCATATAATTAAATTGGGTAAATGGATTCCTACTGATTTTTATTAATATTTAAGGTTAAAATTATTTCCACTTTACGATTGATTGATACAAATACTTATTAAGTTGTCCAATATAATTTTTCAAATATAATGTTTGATCTATTTTTTTTTTTTATATAATATATAACTGTATTAACAATAATTGTATACATAACAAAAAACAAATTAAGACAATATTATGTACTTACAAATAACATAAAAAATGTATTTGCTATCTTGAAAAATACTATACATAGTACTATAAACTAATAGCCTTAATATTTTAAGAGCTAATAAATCAAATTTTTCTTAAAATTACCAATAAGAAAATCTGTCATAAGAGAATGGGGACAGGTGCAGCCAGTGTTATAGATAATATAATGTATATCTGTTTGATTAACCATTGCCAATGAAAAAATGGTTCTGAGTAGAGTTAAGTTGATTATGTTGCTTTGTCAACAATATATAAATATATATGTCTTATTATGATAAAATAATAACATAAGAATATAGTAAATAAATACATAAATAAAAAATGAATAAATGCTTCGCCTGGAGTATTATTATAAGTGTATTATACGACCAGTTTTGAATTAAAAATTCATTATCAGGTATATCACAGTCAAAGTATAAGACGCGTTTAATACTATAATATTAAATTTAATAAATGCTTAATACTTTATTATTTTATTGTCTATATCACAGGATCCCAAACTGGGGGGGCGTATACACATTGCTGGGTAGGCGCAAGCAGTTATTACGAAAAACATTATTTATTGATTAAATTATTTTTATTTTAAAACGTAGAGAAAAAAAATCAATTTAAAGGAGTTTTCGATAAAATACCAACCCATTTATCCTGAAATTTCAAATGAAGCTTTAAAAGTCCTTGTACAATTTTCATCATGTGAATCTGGGTTCTGTAGCATGGCAGTTACCTACTGTTTGAAAATATTTTATTGTATAAAACTGTAATATATTTTTATGCTGTAAACTAATTAATATGATTCTAAAACTTTTCAGATTTATAAGTACCTCTGAAGAAGAAATAAAACAACCAAATAGTATTCTACCAATTGAAATAAAAAAAGAGTATGATGAAATAGATAATTGTGAGTTTAGAAGTGTTATTACTATTGAAAATGATCCCATGGAATTAATTTTATATAAAGAACCAAATCCTAAAAGAACTGGAAGAAAAGTTGATAATGAAAACTGCCCCGTACAGTGAGTATCTTTAAATATTTTTTACTTATTATCTATATTTTTGTTGACTATTATTATTATTAATTATATTTATTGATAATTTGATAACAAATTATTTTTTATTGAGGTCAGAATAAATCTAGCTGGGTTAATTTTAGAGTTATAATTGTCCGAGTAAGCACAGTGAGCATATGACCACCTTGGGTCTCTAGTTCGTCGTATAATGTTTTTCAAATTCTTATTCCATTTACTGGTTTGATTATTAATTTTTACTCAAGTTGGGTTCGTATATTTCGTAAGTGTAAATATTTTTGTTGTTTCACTTTTTGTTTGATTAAATTTGAGTTTCCATTTTGTAAACCACTCTTGAGATCCAGTGTAGTGAGTTTTGTGTATCTATAAATGAGCTTTCAAAATGTTTGAGCGGTTAGTATTAAATGAACATAATATAATAATGTAAAGATAGTTATGTAAATTCAATTTTGTTAGTTTATGTTTAATTACGTTCTGTGGTATTTTACTCGTTCTAGTATTTTGGAAAGGGCAGGGAGCTTATTGTTCTGTATCTTATAAAGAAGTTAAAGGTTTTTCCAGGATTGTGAATAGAAATAAGTTTTGCTTAATACAGGTGTTTGGTAAATATTAAAATTGAGTGTAGAAAGTTGGCTAATGTTTAGATATATGAAAAAAAGTGGAGAGTAGTTGGATTTCTTCTACTGTTGATTTTTAAGGGGCTAGGGCTGATTAGAATTGATTCTGTTAAGTGTTGTGTTTTGCTATCTATTTTGCTGTTATTTTGATAGAAGTTTTAATTTTTTATCAATATTCATTAAGTGTCCCTATTTTATTGGGGGGTTGTTATTTTGGAATTTGGATTGATTGCTCATATAAGATGATAATAACAGGAATGAGTTATTAGTCTTGTTAAGGGTCTGGTTAATATAAAATTTGATGATACATCTTCAGCGATTGGAGATTAGAGTAATATCTGGAATGTATGGTTGTCTTCCAGTTTGTTGAAAGGTAGGTTCTAATGAAATATTATGATTTTTAGCTCAAGGGTGAATTTCAGTAATTAATTGTTGTAATATATTGTTTTTAGGCAGTCCCAAAATTTCGTTTTACGAGTTTGGTTATTCTTAGAGTATGGTAGGGTAGTTATTGAAAAGTGAAGATATATCACCTCTTTGAATTTTTAATTTGGTGAATTGTAGGCTAATACAATTTTTATTTCATATTTATCTGTTGAAACCGTTATAGCAATGGTTTTTATATTGTTCATTTTGGAGAAAGTAGATTAGTGATATTTGACAGATTTGTTATTAAGGTGTTCACTTCACCAGATTAATGAATGACATCTCTTGCCATTTCTTCAAATAATAGCCTTAAAAAGTTCATTATTTTTAAGATATTATTTTCAAGTTATGTGGAGAAAGAAATTTAATGAATGTTAATTTTTTTGGTTTTAATGTCATTTCCATTCCAGTTAAAGATTTTGGATATCTTTTAAACTAATTTTAGACTGGTATGGATAGATTTTTCGATTGCACAAAAAAATTATCAAATCATCAGATCTCATATGTAAACATAACCAAGGGTGAAATAAATACCGCTCATATCATAAAAAATAACATACTTATTTCCAAAAACAATTTCAATGTTTATTGAAAATATTCTTCTTCTCATACGTTCTATTATTAAGTTGTACTAGTGAAATATGTTCACTAGTGTGTTATAGAATTTTTTCAGATGTTCTTTTTGTGATATTGATCTCCTTTGGAGTTTAATAATGTTCTCAAATTTTTTTCAGATTTGTTAAGTCTTGCGAGCATTTGAGTGTAAATAATAATTTGATCATACATAATAGAATACAGTACTTATATTTTATTGTTTTATTCACATTAATTTTTGTTTTTCATTGTAATATATTATAATATTATTATATTTTAAATTGTATTGTTTTTTATTATTTTTCATCTAGGAATTTGGTGAATGTTCGAAAGCCATCTATTAATAGTACATTTATTTTTTATATTGTATATTTTTGATATGATAGAAAAGTCACTTTGAATAACTTTGGATATAATTTGGCGGAATTCTATAAATTCAGATAAATTATTACAAATAGACCACTATTTAGATGAATATTAATTGTCTGTACTTGTGTAATGAGATTATTCGGATTTAAATTTTGAACATCGCAATGAATTTAGGATTATTTCTATTACGTCTAATGGAGAATAGTAATTGGGTATAGTGGAAAATATTTTTGTTTTATTGTTTAGAGATCTTTTTGCTTTGTGATCTAAACTCATTGGAGTTGGGTGATGGAGATGGAGTTTAATTCAAACAGAGGTTGATTTGGTTGGAGTTTCACCTTACTATCCTTTATAACTTATGATTTTTGATATGTAGGCTATCTCATCAATTATGTACACAAATACACAGATTAATGAAAAATTAATTTTTAATACAATTTAAAATCTTTCCGTGATAAATTAGTCATATTTCTATATTTTTTCTCATAGTTATCATTTTAATTATATAATGAATTATTCTCAATGATGTCCTTAAAAAGAACACTAAACAATATTTATACTTTTTTAAGACATTACATGAAAACCATAAATTTCAATTAATTATTGACGAATTTCAACTGGAGAAAACTTTTGGAAATTATATAATCAATTAATGATTTAGATTTTGTGTAACTTGAATATTGGTTTTCAATATTTATCACTACAAAACATTCAAAAAGCTCAAATATAATAGTCATAACACAAAAAGTTCATAGTATATTAGTTAACTAACATATCAATGTTAGAGATTTCTTTCCGAAATGCTACATTTTTTATCCTTAAAATAACCTTATACCTTATTTATCAGACAAACTATCTAAATATTTTGATTTTACTGTTTGTACGGTATTTAATAAGAATTATTATTTTAATAATTCAGATTTACGAGTATCTCTGCAGAAAAAACAATACAGTCAAATACACAAACAATTGAATTAAAACAAGAAAATGATATGGTGAACATGGATGAATTTTCGAAATTGTCTAATGTAAATCAGCAAAAACTAAATTATACCAGAGAGAAACAGTTTAAATGTAATGTTGGTGAATCATCAATTATTCAATCATCTAGTTTTAACCAGGACAAGTCCATACATATTGAAAAGAAACAATTTAAATGTGATATTTGTCAAAAATCATTTAAACGGAAATCAAATATGGTCGAACATATAAGGGTTCATACTGGAGAAAAACAATTTAAATGTGATATTTGTCAAAAATCATTCGGATACAAATCAGTTTTGGTAAATCATAGAAGGATTCATAGCGGAGAGAAGTCGTTTAAATGTGATGTTTGTCAAAAATCATTTAGACGGAAATCAAATATGGTCGAACATATAAGGGTTCATACTGGAGAAAAACAATTTAAATGTGATTTTTGTCAAAAATCATTTGGATACAAATCAGTTTTGGTAAATCATAGAACCATTCATACTGGAATTAAACCATTTAAATGTGATGTTTGTCAAAAATCATTTGGATACAAATCAGTTTTGGTAAATCATAGAAGGTCTCACAGTGGAGAGAAGCTATTTAAATGTGATGCCTGTCAAAAATCCTTTACACAGGCATCAAATTTGATAAGACACATGAAGGTTCATACTGAACAAAAACAATTTAAATGTGATTTTTGCCAAATATCATTTAAACGGAAATCAAATATGGTAGAACACATAAAGGTTCATACTGGAGAAAAACAATTTAAATGTGATGCCTGTCAAAAATCTTTTACACATCCATCAAATTTGATAAGACACAGAAAGGTTCATACTGAAGAAAAAAAATTCAAATGTGATTTTTGCCAAAAATCATTTAGACGGAAAGCAAATATGGTAGAACACATAAAGGTTCATACTGAAGAAAAACAATTTAAATGTGATTTTTGCCAAAAATCATTTAGACGGAAATCAAATTTGAAAATACACACAAGGGTTCATACAGGAGAGAGAATTCTTTTCTAATGATATCTATAAATAATAAAGAAATTTGATAAATAATGTATGGTGTATAACAAACTAACGATTCATTAGTAATCTCATAATTCCAATTTTAAATAAATGCCATGTTTAATTGTATTTCTTAAGTATGTATCTACAATTATTGTAGAAATAACCTCATTTATGTTTTATATTTTTTTCATTTTATAACGTTTGATATGTCGTTAATTGAATTTGTTTGTGACAACTTTATTTTTTACAAATTTGTATTTATATTTGCTCATTATACATTTTAGAATTTTGTATATTTATTATTATAAAAATTTAAAATCACATATTCTTGAAACAGGTTAATATACAAAGTACAGTGTACAAATTTCATTATATTTCTAATGAAGTATTGTTATGATAATATTACGTATTCTTTTTTTTATAACACTTTATAAATTGTATTAATATAGCGTTGTTTCTTTTCATTTATATTTATAGTTTTATCTGTCTTAATTACCTGTTATGTGTCAAGAATATAATATTTCAACTCTTTGTTTATTATGAAAGATACAAATTCATTGGATAAATTGGATAAAATTATTATGTCTATAAGTAAAATAAGATCTACTTAAAAAAAACTTATCGCCTCAATCAATTTCTGGAGTAAAATTGAATGATATTAATAATAATATATGCAAAATTAGTATACATACAATATGCAACACTTCCTGTAAGTCAAGCTTGTGGTGGGAGTGTTGAGTTGATTAGACTTACAAACCTAGAATAATATAATTGTTTAAAAACATGCCTTATGTTATTAAGTATAAAAATTATAAATGATGTAAACATAAAGATTAAAGAATATAAGAATCAAACAGTCAAATCAAAAATCCTCTCCAAAATCTAAATTATGAAAGAAAAATTTAAAATTTTTAAAAGTGCCTTCTACTTTGTCTTACTTTTATTTTTATTACCAATGATTACTATTTTATGAACAGTACATACAATTTCGGTGGAAGGGGGAACGGGGATATCTATACCTGATGGACCCCCTTTCAACGATTTATTATTTTTAAACTTTGGTTATTATATCTTTTTATATTGGTATTTCAATTATTTTTTTTTAATACACAAAAAGTAATTGCTATATTTAATATCATAATACACATTTGAAAACTATAAAAACTGCGTCCTATTGATCTACAGTTTTTAGTCTAAATAAAACTTTTTCGTTCGAATATGAATATAATTCTAAACTTTAAACGTACGAGTATAATACAGTGTTTTCGTTTGCTCTAAAAACTACTATTCAACTGACACACGGTTACGCGTAACATGCATTAAAATAAAAAAAAAAAATTATTTTTAATTTTGTTACATACAAAACTGTTCCAATACAAAACGTTTTTATTTAGAAATTATTTATTATTTTTAATATTTTTTTATTATTTATTATTATTATTATTTATATTATTTTATTCTAAAAATTTAAACAATAAATATTCGCTGAATTTTTTTGTTTTTTTAGAAACATAATTTGCAGTTTTGTAATAATATATTAAATATTTATAATAATACTTATACCGTCTTTTAAAATTTATGTAAAACGAATATGTATATATAGTATGTAACAATATATAGCTCGGATGTTGATTACCAAAATGACATTAAAATATGCAATTGAATGCCTTTAAATATATTAAATATATCTATTTTTTTAACAAATATACTATCTAAAACTGGTTAATTATTATTAATTCAAATTGAGTTATGTACTTATTCTTTTAAAATGTGTAATTAATTAATTAAATATTGAATGTTAACAAAAATAATATTTAACATCCAAACGCATCGTAGTCTTTAACTTCTAGAGATGAAAAATTTTATTTATCGGTGGTAAAAAGTGTTCGATAAATTTACATTAATTAATGTAAATTTCGGGAAATCCAGTATATTTTCTATAGAAATAAAATAAACGAAAGAGAATTTAATGCACATCTGTAAGCAACAACTAACCATTATTGATAACGGAAAAACGATTCTGAACGGAGTTCGGTTGATAGTGTTACTTTATCAACAATACGTATATTTATCATACTTTGGTAAAATAATTAAATATGCATTAAACATATTACTTAATAATATCTGTTTGATTTTGTACCTATTTCGTACCTATTGTACCCATTTCGTACATTTTTGTTTTCCTCCGTTTTTTTCCGATTTTTCCCATTTGTCGGAAAAACTCCTGGGAAAATCAAAAAATGACCTCCGTAAAGTACCTCCCTAGTCCGATTTCCTTTCAGTAATTGTGCTATCACTGAAAATCTGAGCAAAATTGCTAGTAGAAAAGTTGTCCACAGAGAAGAAAAATAAAATAAAAATAAACACCGTTGTAAAACCGTAAGTTTCTTCGTTCCACTCGGAATCTAAAACGACCGTTACGTAGAGGTGATCGTCTTTTAGAAGTGTGTCCGTTAACGAAAGTTTTACCGTACAATACTATACGGATTATCGTCCCGTCGGGTATACCGACGTCGTCGCCATTACACGTGTACACTGGGGCAGTACTATCGCATTTTTCCGTAGCCCGGACGATATCCGGAAAACTGAACGGAAAAGCCGTTTTATAAAATTAGCGGAAAACGTGCCCGGAATAATACCAATAATAATAACATTAACAATATTAATAATCAATATTATCAACGCGATAACCTCAGAGTATAAAACATTTCGAGTGCGTCCTGATGTAAACGCACGCGACCAGTACGTCATCTGTGCGCGCGTTTTTATTTTTTAATATGCGTGCTACGTGACGACGGATATCGTGGGATCGAATTTTTTTCCGCCGAGATAACCATAATAATAATAATATCACGGCCGTCGTATCCGTCATATATTGGGACGGTTAGGTTAGGTACAATTATTATTGTTATTGTTACTGCGCCACGGTCTTTATCGAGAGTTATTGGAAAATGCTCCCCCCCCGGTAGGTACGTGACAATTGCATTCTCGGCGTTATACACATTAACCGTATATTATAACATTACACGTGCACGCGTTACACGTATATAATAATACGGAAAAATCTCCGTATAATCGGCCAATTTATGCATTGATCCGTCAATTTTATGTCTCCGTTGTGTGTATGCCGCGCGCTCGATGTTATGTACTACCGCAGCAAAGAGATTAAGGGGCCACTCGTTTGCGGAACAAAAAAAAAAAAAAGAAAAAAACTCTCGCTACCCGAGTCCTTTACGTATATGTATATACGTTCCTTTGGAGCATGCCGTACGCGCTGTCGTATTATGTAAAACAAAGCGTATACAAAGTGTATATAATATGCCGTGTAATACTATAAGAGTATATATTGTTGTAAATGCGATTTTTCATTTTAAAAATTTTACCATCGAACCCTTTCTACAGGCGCTCGTTATATCATAAAAAAAAAAAAATAAAAAAATATACATCGTTATTCTCAATTTAAAAATATATAAACGTACAAAAACAAGCGATAATTTGTCGTACAATTTCGTAGCTATATTATCTGTACCTATACCTGTGAAATACGTCATTATAATTGGGTTACGAAAACGTTTAAACTCGAATCCTTCAGATAAAAATGTATATAATGACGTTGCGCACACGGATTTCCGTAGATCGGGTCGACATTTTCATCGGCAGTGGCGTGTATCCGAAAAAAGGTTGGCGTTGCTCAAATAATTTTAGGTAACCTTTGACAAGATATGAGATTGAAAAAGATATCGATAAGGACAAATAAACAATATAATCAACATATATGTAAGTAATAATAGTAGTTGATGTACTTATATCATTATGCCTAAAATTTAATAAAATAACAAATACTAAATGATTTAAGATTTTAGAGGATATTTCCTCTACATATCCTCGCTTCTCCCCCAATGACGTCACTGATGAGACGTGATGTCTGATTATTCTAGGTAAATTCTAGGTTTAACGCACAAACTGAAAATTCGTGAAAGTGGAAAGCTCCGGGAAATGTCCATAACTACTCTCGCGATTAAAATTTAACGCGCGAGAATTTAAAAGAATTATATTCTCATCGTAATATCGTAATCAAGGTATAATACGAATCTAGGTCAAATGTCTAAATAACGTCACGACTCGTTAATATCGCGTATTAATGTCTCGTATCAAAAAATTACTTTTTAATGTTATATTATATTTAATTTTCAAAAAATAACCGTCTCCAAGAAAAGTGCGGTGTAATTAAAAATAGTAAATTTTACGTCAAGTTAAAAAATATACATATTACATATTTGTCAAAAAATGTCATCGTTGAAATACCCATCCGTTACCTAAACATACGCTTAAATAAATTGAAAGTTTGTAATGTAAAATTAGTATTATTATTATGCATCAAATTGTTTGTATCATTATTGCACATTTCAGAAGTGTACATTTAAAAAGGGGAATTGTATAATTGTATATTTTATATTTTATATTCAGAGTATATATAGTGATTAAAATGCGTTTTTTTCTTTCAGAAAACACTTTTTCGTGTTATAAAACTTCTCTGATTTTTTAATTTCATACTTAACAGGAGGCGGAGTTATAGTTATAGTTTTTCCATAATATACTCAACAGTTTTTCTAGAAAATTGAAAAAGAATTATTATCAAATAGTACATTGGTTAACATTGGTTACAGTTAACGAATTTCAGTAATTATAGATAACTTACTAATAATAGATTCGTTACCTACAGTCAGTGGCGGCGCGATAGGGTATTGCATGAGGCGATGACCTCATGACCAATTGGGTGCTGGCACCCCCAGGCTAAAAATATTAACTATTGTAAACTGTTACGTTATACTTAATACTTTATTGTTTAAATATAGGTTTATTGTTATAAATACAAAGTAAATATATTTATATTAAGTTAATATATGATATTTCACTAATTCACTTTAACATTCATGTGTTAAACATTCAGTGTTAAGGTAACCAGCAAACATTTAAATAAACCACGATTTTTACGAAGAAGATAAAATTAAATTGATGATATGTTAATTGTATAAATTAATTTTAAAAAAAAATCCTAGAGACTTCTAAA